CGCAATCTCCATTAGATAAAATATACACTACTTTAAAAAATAATTATGGTCAGGTAAAAATATATACGAGTAAAAAAAAATTATAACCTACTTAACAAGAAACAAAAAAATCGCTTATTTTATACTATCTATTCATTAGATCTAAAAAACCTGCCAGAAAAAAGTTACACGATTAGTAATTGCGGTAGGACAACGCAATCTAGATCCCACCATATAAAGCAAGTCTATTCGGTCATAAGTCCTAAATGCTGAATCTATTTTGCCATTTTTTTTAGTTAAATTTGACCCTTAGATTTTGCCGATCGCTCAGAGTGGGCTAGATCTCGGTGATAGCGGAGATTCCAAGTTCTTGCGACATATGAATTTTGACAGGCAAAGCCTGGGGTCTATGACCCATAAAACTACTGATTAAGAATGTTGTACTCTTTACCCTTATAGCCTTTTTAGATACGAAGTGTCCTGCTTCGCAAAGTTTCATTCTTATCGCGAGATCTTATATAAGGTAAGAAAAAAGTTCTAGAGCAAGTAGTTATTAACTGTTAATCAAAAATCGACTGTGAGAAATGATTCTGCAGGAGAGTGACACTGCATAAAATTTAGACCACAACACTAAGATTCTGCAGAAATATAGTACAAACCATTCAAGTTACTTGTATCACGAACTTTATTTTTTATGCGATATCTTTAATGCTATAACGGTAATAGGAAAAAATTTTACAGTAACACATAAATACTGAAGTACTCATCTAAAACACCTAACTATATTTTACTAGGTAATAATTGGTTTTATGGTAGAAAGTATAATAACGATGAACTTCAAATATACATACCTGAAATTGTAATCGACACAGAGGATGCTTTTGTAAGAACAACTCTGCGTATTATCAAAAACCGAAAAAAGCCAAGGGCTATAATATCGGTTAATAAAAGAGATATTCATGATTTTTACAAAATACTTCCTGGAAAATCAAAAGATTTATTGTATTGCAGATCAAATATCTCTACAACTTCCGATTTGAGTACTTCGAATATCGATTCCACATCTAGTTCGGGAATAGAAGTTATATATATGAAACACCCCATTCTAAAGCGTAAAGTAAAAGGTAAAGTTAAATATCGAGCTTTATAGGGCCTTGCCCATGCTTCGCATAATGGAGCTAGTATCTCTGATACAAATCTCATCACGTTATAGGGCAAAGCCCATGACTCTCTGAGTCGCCCCTATGGGCCTCAGGAGAGCGATGTTATATATAAATCCAACATAAGCAAATCTTAGTCTAGGTCACGATCCCATTAAATTACATGCACTGCTGATACCATACGTGTCTTGAATGAATCGATCGATCGCTATAAAATAATACCCGAATTTATCATGTTTTTGCTCAAACTTTCTAGCATATTCTCAGTAGCATATACATAGTACTTGGTCTATATATCGAAGTTTCTATAATATAAGGAATGATATGTTAGTCTTGCTACTTTTACTAATAAAAT